TATTTAAACTTCAGACTACTCTTTCTCTAGTTAAAAGGATATCACTAGGTACCTGAATATCCTGAGACATCCATGCTTTTAAGATCTTTAGCTTCTAATATGACCACTTGAAGTTTACCAGCAGCAGGAACATACCGCAGTGAGAAACAAAGCTGACCTAACTCTGACTTGGAACCCTGAAAAATCAATATGAAATTATTAGAAAAAGAAGAGAAATGGAATGAATGTTGCCAAAGTAGTGATAAATTATATGTTAAAATATATGTTCTTGAAAAGTAAATTTGGTGCTATTTTGAAAGTCTTTGGAATTCTTTGTTTTCATTCCTGATTACTGATTGTCTCTCAAAAAATATATTAACAAATAAATGTAACTCTCACAGGCATTTCTGTATCAAACATCTAGGGATGGAGTAGAAATACTCCTAGTCGCTTCAAGCTACTGAAACTGGAGATAAGCGCCAGCATGATGGGCAATTGGCTCATATACAGACTTTACCTGCTATGCTTTCTTGTGCTAGTTTTTGATTGGAAATGTTTGGAATGCTTCAAGAAAGATTAGATAAAATGGCATGTGTTCTCTCTTCCAAAGTATACTGTGGGATGCATTAGTTACATGGTAGCACTCACCCCTGTAAGTCCTCCTGATGATGAGGGTGGTATCAGAGCTCGCCACTCATCAATATTGGAAGCTAAATCTACATCAATAAGAGGAAGCTTGGCTTCTCCAATGATATCATGTCTAGAGAAGCGGTCAAAGTCATACAGCTCTATACAGAGAGTTCTATTTGTAATGTCACTGTAAGGAATGTTCTTGAATACAAATGTTTCCTTGAACACTGGATTTAGAGTCTTCCGATGAACCTAAAGATATGTAACATGAATGTATTAGTGAGTATCAAATGCAGTTAGTATTGAGATTTGAATGAAGATTCATAAGCTGGCCCAGAGAGTACTTGGATTGGTGACATGACATAGTATTCAAGTTAGCCAAAATAAATGTATGTTACTTGAGATTATATTTCTTTGGAATTGCCCTTTTGGTCCAAGCAGAGGCAGGGGCAGACCTACAGAAGCTATACTTCCCCCAGAATTTCCCAAGGAAGACTGGTCAAGTTTGTTTTTGTGTGACTCTGATCTCTCATCATAAAACAAATTGTCTCAATTCTGCTTACCTTTGTATCAAATTTCTTTTTTCTGTCTGGTAATAACATTACTCTCGCATATGGATCAGAAGTTCCACTGAAATCTTTAGCTGGGACATCCTGTGCTTCTATAACTCCAACCGCAAGAGAATTTTCGTTGAAGCTATAGTCAAGGGTAAAGTGAACCCGACCTGTGTAAAGAATCCAGTAACAAACAGAATCAAATTAAAGTCTTGATAAATTCTTGAGGTGGGAGGTCACTGGGCTGGTATTTTAAGGTGAAGTGACTCTCTGTTGCAGATCACCACAAGGATTTTTTTTCAGTTTGCCCCCGACACTTAACTGACACGGACAAGTTAGCCTGGCCTCTGAATCAATGTTCCCTGTAAACTGTAAATCATTCTGCTCCCTATATATTCAATCAGAGCAATGTCTAGTTCCAGAAAATATCCATACCTCTCAAACAGAAGAGATTTATCCATGACTCCCCCATCCACCGCTCTGGAAATTCCAAGAATTAAGCTTGATACAATAATTGTATCAAGCTTAATTGGAATTTCCAGAGTAGTGGAGGGGGGAGTCTTGGAAAAGTCCCTTCTGTGGGAGAGGTATGGATATTTTCTGGAACTACACAAAATTATTTTTTAAAATTTTTGGTCTTAGAGAATGCCCCTCCTGCCAGGAAATTCCAATCCCCTCTTTGGGGGAGTATGGATATTTCCTGGAACTGAACAAATTGGGGAAAATGTCAAAAATGATGTAAACGACTAGAAAGAGTCAGAATGCAAACTAAAAAAGTGCTGGTGCTCTAAACCTGCAAACATGAACAGTTTCAACTGTGGGAACTTCTGTCTCAGCACAATCAATTTATACCTATTTTAACTCCAGAACTACCATCAGACTGGAATTCATCACTGTTGTAATCTAACTCATCTACAGATGGTTGAACTTTTTCCTGATAGCTTGCCGCCAGCATTTGCACGGCTTTCAGGTCAACCTTTTCCTTGACAGCTTTCTTTTCTTCCTTCTTCTTTCCCCTGCAACATCGGCGATAGCACACACAGTAGCAGCAAATGGCAACAACTAGGAGTCCTATCAGACCAACGGCAAATACTGCCCACCATGGTACTAAAAATGATAATGGTATATTGAGTGATTAAAGAAGGTGCAACAGCAAAAGAATCTGAGTTATACAATGTAACTCTATACCTGCTAGTTACTCACTCTCACCATTGTTGATTCAAAATGAAATTATTCTCAAAGTTTTTAAATCTTTCACGATTTTTCAGCTATGCACTTGGGAAAATCAGACTTTTGAGTAAGAGATTGCCCCTTGAAAAAAAAGCTTAGTTGTCTAAGCTAAATAACATAAAAATTATACAGTTTTAAACCCTGACCTTGAACAACTTTCCTTTGGATTTTGTAACCTTTTTCTCCCCAGAATTTCCAGTGAGCTTCCTTCTAAAAAGTATCAATACTGGTATTTCCTTGAACTATATGCCCCAGCCAATTTACCTCATACCCAAAAGAGCGGTTTTCAGTTGAGTGTCGAAAGTACTCAGACAATTACTTTGGTTTTGGTTTTGGTTTTTCTATGGTTTGAGATTGACTGAGTAGTCTAATTAGTAAGTAATTACTTTGGTTTTGGTTTTACGACAGTCAATTGAAAAGTGCTCTAAGTAATAATAATGATGATGATGATGATGATGATAATTGTAATAGTATACATACTTCCTTCAGGATATGCCTTGTGTGGCTGTGGAGTGGTAATTTTTTGAGGTTTAACTGTTGGCATGGTTGTTGTTGTTGTTGTTGTTGTTGTTGTAGTTGTTGTTGTTGTTGTTGTTGTTGTTGTAGTTGTCGTTGTTGTTGGTTTCCCACTGTTCTCTTCGTCACTTTTGTTGAGTTTTATGGTTCTGTTTGAAAGCGTTGAAATTCCCATAGGATTTCTGTGGTCAATTCCAGTTTTCAGGGCAGCTTGCTAAGAAACCTTGTGAGGTTCTGAAGGTGGAAAGAAGATTTGAGTCAAACATATTACAGTGAATGGAGTAAATAAATACATTTTCAACTTCCTGAAGTATCAAACGGTTAAATCTTAACCACAATGTGGGATGTTTCTATGATTTTTTTAAAATAATTTTTCTACCTTTGAGACTGCAAATGTCAGTATTTAATCAATAACCACATGATTGGGCTATAATAATGAGCAGCTCCAGAAAATATCCATAATGACCCCACTAATTGAGGGGGTATGTATTTTAAAAGCCAAAATATGAAATAACCAATGAAAGGAAAGTATAAAGTTACACTAAGATTTCCAGAGGGGTAGAGCATGGTTCAAACTAAAAAACCTTCCATGAGGAAGGGTATGTATATTTTCTGGAACAACAAATCACATAACAAAGAGGCCAGAGGAAAACCAATCACAAATAAGAATTTTGGTATACAGGTCTCATTAATAATATTAATGCCTAAAGAGACTGATTTGAATAACAACCTTATATTCTTGGTGAAACAATCCCCAGAGTGGAAAAAGGTGGAAAAAAAAAATTGAAAATTAAAAAAGAGAGAAACTTGCCACAATTTATGTATATAATTAAAACAATGAATTATCTCTGGCTACTGACCTACCCACCAGTCATACCCATGGCCTGCCACAGTATGTGACAAGACATCTGTTAATGAATAAATACTAAAAAAAACCCAATGTATCAAAACTAGCTCCTATAGGCAAGAACTCGCTAACATAATGTGTGAATACTCGCAGGCACTCATATAATGTGAAATGACAAAATTGACATTGTTAACCATTGTTTTGGAACATTTCTCAAGAAGAGCTTGTTTCCTCCCTGCGTATAACTGTATTCTATGTTTGAACACATTTCACAGTTTCATGCTACTGAGCTGTATAAATTTGAATGAAATGAAGTTAGCACCTATTGTTGGGCATTGTGTCACTTCCAAAGTCTAAGCGTGCGATGGTGGGGTCGTCGGCCGGCGAGACTTCGATTGCATTCATGAAAACTCTTGATCCAGTAGCTACATAAGGTAACTTGTTCATTTAGCATGTCAAACAAACCATCGGTGGTCCGATGGGAAACAAGCGAACGAAACCGTTAGGCGTGAGGATTAATAAATATCAACAAAACAAATCAACGATGTGTTCGAATGGTTTACATTGATTACCATTCATTGGTCATGGGTCGTTTCAGTCAATTGACCGTATGATGACCACCAAATAAAGAACACAAATCAGTTTGCGATCAATATCCTCATGAATTCCTACTTACCAGTTGCATTTTAATTTTAACGGCAGTTGCAGGGAAAAGAAAAACGAAACTTGAACTAAAATTTGGATCGTTGGTGACTCCTAGCGAGTTCCAAGGGAGCAATTTATTTTCCCGCTCCGATTGTAAATATTCTGGCGGGAAGGACTGGAGCGAGGGAAGTCGATGAATTTTTGGGAATTTTTGGCAGTGTATTACGTTCTAGCTTGGACTTCTTGGACTTCTTGGAGAGCAGAAAAATAACTGAACAAATTGAAAGAATAATTTAAGCCAATTTATCCGTTTCCATAAGAATCGTCGATTTCTATCAATAACACCTAGTTGCCATGCTTGAACAGATTTCTCGTCAACCGCTCGATGACTGTGTAGAACTGTTACAAACTAAACCGATTACTTTGCGCTGGGTTTTAGCGTTCAGTTGAAATTTACGACCGTGAAACGCTGACGGAATCTCCCTTACCCTGACAACAAAGCTTACTAAATGCTTATTTGTGTGAATCAAACTAATTCGATACGTTACCAGTCACTTGGAAGATATAAATCTCGAGATTGCGATCACTCTGACAGGTTCCCCCAGAAGATGAATTGTTCCATCATAACTTTTCACAGTTCAGTTGTAGTCAAGTGTTTCTTCGATCCAAAGAATTTTATCCGTTGCAAGAACAATATTGTCATCAGAAGGCTGCCATATTGCATTTTACGACATGTGATCGAGGACACTTTTGTAGTCTGATCTAACGTGCTTGGTGATAAACCTTTAAATTTTTAATCGGCTGGCTATAAAAACTGATGGAGAGATTTGTGCAACATAACTGCACATGTACTGTAGAAGAAAACAGATTCCGAATAAAGAACGCATGGGCGAAAAAGTTTTTTTAAAATTAGAAGAGATTTTCACGCACGACTACTTTCATTTTTTCCGCATTTAACAATGCAAAATCAAAGAAAAAGAGTGAAAGCCTGTTTACCATAACACAGCTAGATTCCTTTTCATCCATGTTTACACAAGGCACCAAATTTGCCCCCGATGATCAAAATTATGTCGGTCTCCTCTCAATACTCTTGCTACTAGCTTTGGTCCGGCCGAAGGAAAGACTGCCTCATTTGACCAGTCCTTGAATGCCTCTAAACAAAACGAAATCCAACTCACCTTAGCAAAGCTTGCATGGTTCCGCATGTGACGTTTGAACTACTGCAGAATAATGTCTTCCTGTGAAAAAATTGGTGACGAACTTTACAGACTCAGAGGTTCCCCTCGAAAGTATACCGATTGTCATGAAACATGCGAGGTGTTTTCGACCGTTTCACCGTCACCGGATGATGTAGAGTACTCGGCAAGAGAGAAAAATTACGTGGGATGATTTTTAATCTTCGCCATATTTCATGCACCTCATTACTTATAGACCGTGCTTTAAAGGAGTGCAAATGTAATCTGACAGATGTTTTGTTAAAGACTGGCAGGAATTTAGAATACAAATAGGCCCACCAACCAAATAACAAGCTGAAGCTTTTCAAATGCAAATTAAGAGCAACTTAAAGTGTTCGCCTAAAAAAAAAAAAAAAACTTCCTGTGAATTTCTCATCAATACACTGAGTGACCTTACACAATACAATATTGAAAGTCTCTGTTACCACCCGTTGTACGTGAATCAGCATAATTTACCGCTTTTCCAAGATATTACGTTGTTGTCGGTGGGCAAACCTTGATCACCGAAGTGTGATTAGTGTTTAGGGCTACTCTACAGTAATTAACTTTTTCAACGTAATTTGCTTTTCCGAGTAAAGATAATTTGCATGAACCATTACTACACTGCATGGACTGCCACTGATTCCCTAACGGACTTTACTCGTGTGTGAATATTTCCTCTAGGTCCTCTAGTTTAGATCGCCCGGCTTTAATTCACGCCTCTGCGAAATATTTTTTTCCGGCTGTTAATAAAGTCAGCTATTAAAAGCCGGAACCTGCGAAATTCACTACACTAAAAAGCGAACAGCAGAAAACTTTACACATGTTCAAAACAAAACAGTGAGTTAAAGGAAAACAGAAAACAAGAACCCAAGGAAACCTGTCAGGAATGAGTAACAACATAAAATACTTCATCAGAAAATGTTCGGCCCAATAACTACCCGAAGAGGAAAGTGACTTCTCTCAGCCCAGACCTCGAACCCTCATCTCCTGCGCGACCTTGGAAACCAGGCCGAGAGACTGTCTTTTTGCTTCGGTTGATATCGAAATATTGTTGGAACACTTCAAAGGCGGCTTTTAAAGTCATTTTACAGTGACTGTCTCCTAAGTGCTTGCAAAAACTCGCATTAAATCATGCCCTCAGTATCTCGTGGGATTACATGACCAGCTGGCTAATCAATTTGAAATACGAAAGCCTTATCTTTTATTTCGCCTATTTTATGACACCTCTACCACACTGTATGTATGTTAATCTGCATTTTTCAACAAAAAAAATAAAATTGTCACGAACTCCGACAGACATATATCTTTTTCAAGGAATATTTTTGAAGAACTTAATAAAGTCATAGCGCGTATTTTTATTTTTTCAAAACCTGATGAATCACTGCTGCTCGTTTATTACATGTAACTTTACGGCATGATCAAAAAGTAATGTTATCAATCCCTTATTAGTTTTCTCCGTGTGCGAATAGAACGATGTTGTACTGGCATGGTTGTCATGGTAACCAGTAAACATTTAGACCACTTTGTCTGTCCACATACGCTTATTTTTTTGCTACGAGTTATTTTTTAATTGCAATCTCGACGGACTCAAGACAAAACAGAAGGTCTGTGTAGGGACTAGTAAACACAAGGAGGTTTTCCGAGTTGAGTCTTGTTAATACCCGTCAACTTTAGATACTTGCAAATAGACTATATACATCAGGCAAATGATCTCGGTAAGGGTTGCCGTTTTGAATCCCTCTTTGATATCGTAATTTTTATGAAGATTGCGACTTTTTTTAATTTATAAGACATGTTTCGATGTTACTAACATCATCGTCAGTTGCAGAATATTTGAAAAACCGTGGGGACCATATAACAACTAGGCGAAACATGCATAATTAATTATGATAAAGTGACAAAAATAGATTACATATTTGAGTGAGTCACAAAGTGCTCTTTGATATATGTTACCGAACTGGACTTATATTTTTTTCCTATCGCCATCTATATAAAAAACAATAGTATATTAGCCGGATATTCTTTATCTCGCCTGGGCTATAATTGGAAGACAAAAATAACCTGTTTACTTACATGTAAAACGTTTGTAACGGGCCCTTTTTATATTAACTTCTTTTATTTGATGGAAATATCCGTTAGTATCGGATGACATCTGTCTCCCAAATGTCCCCTTTGAATCAATACATCCTAAATATGCAGACAACTTTCAAAGAAGTGACACGAGATATCCTCTGATATCGTAGCCTCCTCGTGCAGATGTTCTTATGGCTCTTCGCCCACTCCTCCCTCGCGAACCCAAAGGACGTCTGCCAAGGAGGCTGTCATTACCGGCACACTGAAATATACATCCTCTAGTACTCCCACGCCCTCCATCCTGCTTGGAGGCCTTTTTGCACCTGGACTTTCCACCATCTTCGGACGGGAAACGAATGAAAATCAAAGCGGTATTCGGGCTAAAGTTGGTTGGACTGTGAAGCTTTGTTGGCCAACTTTCTGAGAGAGGGCGCAGTACAGTTTGCGTCGCCGTGTACAATGATTCTAGAATCGCGATGTAAATCAGTTCACTCTATTTCACAGCGAGAGGGTCACAGAACCAATTTCAGATAAATTTGCCCGATGCTCACCATGGTGGCATAAGAAACTTTTAGGCAAGACATTTATAAAGCTTGTTTATTGAATAACCCTTGATCTACGTCAGTTTAATTTTTTACGATAAAAACCAGTCTCTAATTGTGTGTAAGAAAACTTAGTTCTGCTGCAAATCATTTTTTGCTGTAAAAAGCTGTTCTGTAGATGAACATATAAATAAAAGAGTGTTCTGAGACGTGACAAACGTCAAAGCTTCAGGTAATCTAAAAACAGACTTTGCACGGTTAATTTTAACTTGAGTCAAACATGACGGTCGTCTCACTTCACGTTATAAAATCTCTAACCTCAGCAGGAGTCCATGACATTCTCGTCCCCACAGTGTTACTCGTTTTAAAATGACGTGATCAAAAGAAACGGAGGCTCTGGAGACGAGAATGGAGTCCATGACTCCTAGGGTGCTTCCATTATGCCAAAAATTATGGAAATTTCGGTCGGAGGTCAAATGGAAAGGTCCGCTTCGGTTTGGTCCGACCGGAATGTTCGGGACCACCTCTGGAGGTGGTCCTCTTTGATCGGTCGGACCGAAATTTGTCCTTCCATTTTGACAAACCGGTTCATTGCCCTACTTCTTTTCAGAAGATTTCACTCATGTAGGGAATTAGGGAAAGGAATAGAAAATAGTGAGAGCTATTCCTCTCGGCTTGCCCTGTTTGATCTGAGAACGTCGTTCTATTTTCCTCGGGTAGTCTCACTGGCCGGTCTGGCATAACGGAAAGCACCCCTGGTTGCAGTGTTGTCACATTTTAAGGCGGTGCCATGCTGCTACAGGTCTTCTGGGTGATATGAGCATTTGATGCCAGTGTCTGAGTGGCTCTCCAGTAGTAGCAGAGCCTATAACTACTCGTCCAATCACATCACTTCTCGTGGATTCGGGTTTGGCGTCTGCTACTGATATGACAAACAGGACTCTGTGAAGGAGGTCCGGGGGAACATCAAACATCATACACTCGTTGTAGACAGGGTTAGTTTCCTGTTTTCTAGTGGAAGTTTTCTTCTTCTTGACTTTTTTGCCGTCGAATAAGAGAACAACTTTGATGAACGGATCTGTAATTGCACAAAAAGACGACTGTTGGGCTAGCAGAGTAGCGATCTTTGGAGGTGAAGAAATCTTTTCGTATTCTTACATTCTGTATCGGAACTCAAAATTAGCAACTGTTCCATACTCCAATTTATTCTCATTAGTAGAAATGGTAATATTTACTTATATCAGTTCCTTATTTTTCTCGTGCGTATAGTCAAGCGTTTTAAACATCGGCCTCAAGCTCAGATGTGGAGGGCAACCTCATCCCAAATTTTGGCTTTAATTAATTGATTGGCTGATTGATTGACTGATTGATTGACTGATTGAGAGACGCATAAAGCCATTCCAAGTCACTGCGCTTTACACTGATACTTTCTCTCCATCGCAAAAATCAGTTTACTGTGTGCTAATAAAACATCTATTCGATTTTTTTAATAGATTAGAGAAACATGCAGAAAATTTTAATATACTTACTTATAGGCCTTGATTCAGTGTTCCAGTCACTGAAGGGTGGATTCAGTCCCCTGGCCTTCATCAATACCACAGACATCCTCTCAGCAGTTGGCATATAACTGAGGGAAAATAAAATCTCACCTAGGTTGGTCTTCGTCTAGAGAGAACAGAAAGAGATCGGTTATTGCTGAAACTAGGAAGTACGGGTTTATTTCAGAAGAAGTTTCAGCCATACCAGAAACGTCAAGAAGAAGCGAACAGAGAAATACCGTGTCACCGAGAAAGTGCGCAACACCTCGCTTTGCGGACATGCAGTAGCTGAAGATTAGCCCGCGAAATTTATGGATTTATTAAAAAAAAAAAAAAAAAACAAGTGACCGGTCGTCGTGAGTGTGTCCGTTAAAATGGGAGCTGGGTTTTCAGATTACGGAAGACAACTCGCGGCTAAGTCTTTTGGCTGCGCTCATCCTAATTCTGCACGCTAGCATGTGCACAAAGTCAACTTAACGTTTCACCAACCTTTTGAAGTGACCTCAAGTCTCTGTCAAACGCAACTGGTTCATCAGCTTTGATGACTTGACCAAGCTCAACTTGAACCTCTCCAATCATGTGATGACGGGAATACTTGTCAATTTCCCAAACGGACAAATGAAGTGTGGAGCTTTGCACGTCTTGTAAAAGCATATTAAATTCATAACTCTCTCCAAACTTTGGACTCGTAGACTTCCTAAAAACGTCTGTTTGCCTCCTTAAAATTCCCTCTTCGTCGGGTTGGAGCCTCACTTTCACGTAAGAATCCACAGTATCCCAGAAGTCCTTTCCCACCAGTTGGCTCGCTTCAATGATAGTCAATAACAGAGTTTGCAAATCGCTTTGATAAACCATCGTAAATTTGATTCTTCCCTTGCTTCTTGGAGGACTGAGCCCTTGAGAAGTCTGCATCTCTATGTCGCCATTCATTTTGCTTCGTTTCTCTTGTTCACATTCGCTACACTCATCTGCAAAGCTTGGGAATTGTACAACTGGTACCTTGCCGGCAGTGTTTTTGTCTGTGCCCTTGAGGTAAGAGGAATCTTTATACACTGGCTGTTTGTGAAGTCTGCTTAGCTTACACACCATACAGATGACCATAAGAATAAGAATGGCGATCGCTCCACTTACAATACCAAGCTTTGCCTCCTCTGATAAATACAGCATTACCAGCTTGCTGGGCTGTGGGAAAGAAACAGAAGTCAGGAATGAAGAATGAAGACAAATTACTGGAAGCGAAGGAAAAAGACAAGCCAAAATTCGTAGAATCAGTCGTTAACCTTTGTACAAAAATGCGCAAGAAATACAGGTTTATAAAATGCTGGCAATGTTTTCGTGTAGCTGTACATATTAACGATTTCGGGCTCGCCAAAGTGGAAATGACGAGCAGATCAGACTGTTTAGCGATACTACAATCTAAACTGTCTAATGAAAACAAGAAGTTTATTGTCCAATGTTTTTATTGTCGGAAGACCATGCGAACGAAGTCTAGAACACAAATACCGAGAAAACTTTGTACTCGTCTCGCACGTTATTCAGTATTTGTGTTCTGTACTGAATGACGTTTGAAGGGATCACCTTACGATTAACAAGCAAACAACACACAAACAACCAAACAAAATGAATAAGCAAAAGAAGGTAGAATAGGACACAAAAAATTTCAAACTGGTGGCAAGCTAGCAGGACTTCCGTACATCTATTATTATAAATCTAACTAGCATGTCATCACAGTGAACCAAGGACTTGAATCAAGATCTTAAAAAGGAAGCAAATCAGAACTAGCTTAGTTGCTGATATTTGACAGTTCACTTAAAATATGTGATATAGAAAAGAAGCGGAAAACTGTACCTTTGCCACCATTAAACTACTTTTTACACTTATTACTACTTTTTGAAAAGACAAGATTACGGATAAAGTGTAGCAAGCTGTTGTACTTATAAAGGAAAACGTCACAGCAAATTGACCCTTAGGCAAATTTTGGGGTACCGCTTAACATCGAGCAAGATTGTACTGGTTTTTCAGTGAGCAAAGCAGTTTATCCATTTTAGGCTGGTGGACCGTCCTGGTGAAGAAGTGACATTCAAGGTGAGCAATATTTCAGTTGCTCTGTTCTTGACTGGCGCAAAGCCACATCACTCGTTTTCACCTTACAGACTGTTGGAAGGCTGAAACCTATCTATAGGAGAAATTAACTCCCTTACTTACGAGTTCACGGCTTGTGAACCTTTATCTAGCGGTAGCTTACTCCGCACAATAGAGAGAAAATTTCAAATCAGGCTTTGTATATGTGACAGCGCTTTACAAGCTTTTGGTGATAAAGGATTAAGAGATGTAATCAAGAACCTCTTCTTTGGATTTTTTTACAAAAATTCCGTAACTTAGTCAATCGTATTTTCAGCAACATTTTGATCACAAATTACAGAATACGCACAAGTAGCCGGTGTAAACTAAACAAATTGGAAACCTAAAACAAGACCACAACATGATGCATCAGTATTACCTTGAGAGAAAATTCCTTTCAAAGTCCTTCAGCGAGAGATGAACTCTGTTCCCCCATAAAAAAAAAAAAAAACAGTCGCCAGTACGACGAAATCCGACGTAACGAGACCTTGAAGAAGAACAAAAGAATAGACGAGGATGGCCACTCCCAAATCTCAACTCAACGTATTAATTTTAGATCATAATCTATGCATTTCACGTGTACAATCGATAGCGCAAGCGACCGATTTGGACATTTTCTGGGCTTTAGCCAATTCACTTCCGATTAAAACCAAAACATAGACAGTTGCCTTTCGTTCTCAGCTATAATATTCCAACTGGTGTAGTTAAAAAAAAAAAGCTTTTGTTCTTTGCGGCGGGAATGAATTAGAACAAGAAAACCTGCTTGTATCAAGGTGCCACACTGTTTAGCTTGTGAGTTTTCAGATTTTTTTCAGGTACCAGCTATTCGAAGCCTCAAAGCTTGTAGTTAGTTCCATGGTAAGGGTTGATGATCTCGATTTCTTAATATGCTTTGATAACTGTTAATATGGTTCTAGCCTTGTTGTGTCTGAAGGTCTTGAGCATACCATGATGTAACGCCATGTGAACCAACTATGAAGGAAGAACAAAAACATGTCGTAACAATTTTCACTGTTTTCACACTTTTATCGTAGATTGTCGAGTCTGATCTAAATGAAATACTTATAAGACTTTCACGAAGAGTCCGCAGTAAAAAAGGTGGCTTCCTCCCTTGATCCCGCGCGTTTTCTGACAGCGATGGCCGAACGCTGCACAAAATCAAAAGCCGGAAATAAATCTTCGTTTCCGTTTGATTGCGCGCATGCGTTCGAGACGTTTCTGAACATGCGCCGAGAGAGTAACCACTGCGACGAATGCTGGTTCACGCTCCGATCGCTGCGAGGTCCCGGAATCTGGAAACGATATTCAAGCCATCCGTATTGTTTAGTAGACATGTCGACGCTGCTTCGAGAACATAGCTTCCAAAACAACGCGGATTCAACATTGCTGAGTCAATCAAAGCGATCACATGAAATCTACTATTGCTTTTACGCGTCAAACTGGTTGACGATGAAAGGCTTAGAGCATTCAGATTAGTTCCTTAAGGCCATGGTCAACCGTCGAATTCACATAAGTGTCATAAGTCGCCGTCCCTAATAATGCAAATGAGGTCTCGGGCGATCTAATTTTGCGATACGGACCGCTGAGATGGAGCACACACGGCTCTCTTTATAGTGAAAAAAACTCCTAAATAATACTGCAGGTCAGGTAGTGATTTGAAAATTACTATATGGTGACAAAAAAAAGGCATTTAAAAAGGCCGAAAAAAAAAGGCTGCAACTGAAAAAGAGAATGATAAAGTCTACCAAAGCAAGGGGTCTTTCACGACACTAGGGCAAACTAGTGCAAAAGAGAAATGGGATTTTTTTTATGGAAGTAAGTATTAAATAGCCTGCATTTATGAGATAATGGTTCAGTACAAGCAACCCAGTCAGTTTCGTTGTTTATCGTCATCTTGTAAGTTCGCGTGCATATTTGCGCATATGACATCCCTGGGGAAAGAAATGTTCTTAAATAACGTAACTTTTTTTAAACATGCGTAAAATACATGCATAAGAATGCATCTCGAGGAAGGGAAAAAGATCGCAGAACTTTTCTCCGATGGTAACAAAAATAACGATAGTGGATCTTTAATAAACAAAAACTGTGTAAAAAAATTAATATCAATGCCTTACATTGAGAGCACTTTATACAAAACTAATTCCTAAGTTAGAGAAATATTCTTTTTCACTTTCCGTTTGGACTCCAGGTAAGCTCAGGTTCTACTTAATGTGAACAGAACAGGAGTGCTGACTTAACGGGGTCATTCTTTCGGGACTTACTGGATAACTAATTTACGGGCACCAGCTAAATACTAACAAAGATAACCGGCCATAACTGAAGACCAGTAAAGAAACCTACAGTTATCAGTTACCAGTTACCTCGAGCGTTTGTGCGTGGTTGCTGAAGTAATTCGTCCTTCTACATGCTGTTCGACGTTTCAAAGTAGTTCAGTGTAACCAGATACAGGAAAAATAAAACGCCGGTGGTATCATATGCAAGATCTTTGTTGAAGTTGCTATCAAAGAAGCCCTTCATTTTGGATTAAAAAGTGACATCACGTGAGAGGGTTCTGTTAGCCTTCACAACAACCAAGGGAGCTCTTCAACGCATGTAATTGATTAGCACATCATGGGACAGCTTTTTTCAGTAACGTTTACAACAAAGAACCTGCATTGCTTTAGTATTTGAAAAGTAATGAATTGTCTGATTAGACAGCTTTGCTATCGTTTATAAAAGAATCGTCATCGATTTTGAAAAGCTATTAGTCAATTAACATATCACCGGGTTGGGACAGCTTTGTTAACTGTTATACATTGTTACCTTTACATTACCATTGAAACCCTATATTTTTACATATAATTCTTTTCCGAAATATATATTTATTGCAACACTCGCACATATTTATCTTGCTGAAAACCCCACTTAGAGAGTTTCAATGAAGCCGAGGATGTATGTACAAAGAACTTCTTCAGGTTTTGAAAGGACATTGTGTAAAATGGTCTCATAAGTCGTTATATAACGTCAGTTTAGAACACAGAGTTTTTTCCATTCTTGAAAAGTGATTGAATAATTGACATAATGTAACGAGGTGTTCCAAAAGTTTCAAGAAACAACTAAAATGACATTATGTTTGAGCTTGAAATTATTTTCCTTCGTGCGTCTGTTCAAGTTATCGTTACTCATTTTGGTGTAAACATATGTAAAGTGGCGTTTTATAATAAATTTGAAAGAAACGTAAAGGAGGGAATTGAGCTTCGCGTTGATAGTCCTCGGGGTAACTTTTTCGCCGGCCTTTAGTTTCGGGTTAGGGTTTTTTGAAAAGAAGCAAGTTAAAAACCGATAATTGCTGGCTTGCCTTAACTAGACAGCAGACTATTTTGCACAGTAGCGAAGAAATAAGAACATTTCTAGGATGTTAGCTATCAGCTTTTCTGGATCTCTGACGTTTTTGGGACATTCTATGGTTTCTACAGGTAGTATACTTTTCATGATGTTAGCGATGGCGGCTGTTATCAGAAGATTGAAACTTCCATTTAAAGTTATTGTCAAACCGTTTCTAATATTGTCTCTCACCATTAATGTATATCTAAAGCTCATTGTGAGCCTTTGATATGATTCACAGCTGTTAACCGGGAGTATATAATATTCACTTTACTCTTGTCTCACAAAAACTATTTTCCTAATAAAAATATTTTTAAATATCATAAAATAAAATGTACTTCAGTGATTCTCTTTTCTTAAGATCTCCAAACAAGCAGAAATCTCTCTCCTTGTAACTTTTTAGCTTCCCATTTAATGATTTCCACTTTTTAGCGTAGATATTCTAGTAAGTGAACACAACTTCCTTGAATAAACACCTCGTCATATTAAGTATACATGGGAAGACATGGGAGCAAGGACGCTCACGCAGGAAAACAAGACCAAACAGTAAGTTTGATAAGTTTATTGTCTTCCTGTTTCTTATTATCATAATCTTATTTCAAATTTCAGTAATATTTTTGGCACGCAGACAAACCCACAAAAGTTTCTCATACATTTCCTAAGGGATCCCCTTTTACATTTGTAGTTTCTATCATATCTGTTAATACCAGGGTCATGGTTTCCCTTTTCTTGCGCTCAAAATGATTACTGTTCCTTGCTGTCACTTAAACAGCACAGTCTGTTTTTACAAAAGACAAGTTAACAAATGTTTCCAGGGTAGTCCTTGAGTGCTTTGATCATGTCCCTTCGACTGAGTGGCATAATGATCCCACGTGACGTCTCTCTGGGTCATGATGGCAATGAATACAAGATTCTAAAATTGCCAGTGTCTGGGTCCACAAAGTAAAATGGTAACCTAAAGTTCTTCATTAAAAATGAACCAAAACCAAAGATAATTAAACAACCATTACAACATGTCACTGAGGGCTTATAGAGATAAGCATGATCATAGAGTTCCTCATCTTGTGGCATACAAACGTTGAGTTCTACAGGGTCGGATTCTATCGCATCACTATTAGCACTGGAATTGTCATTGCAGAACATTTCATTGTTGAAGGTACCAGTATCTTGGCATGATTTCAAAGTATAAACTTCTTTCATCTGGAAACAAACCATCTGCCATACATCAGTTATTGCATCATAAACTTCACATTTGGGTGCACAAGCACACTCTGCACTTTCTCCTCCCATCAAAAAGATCTTGTCTCCAGAAACACAAGCCAACCCATTACGTCGAGGTTGCTGCATAGACGCCACATATGACCAGGTGTCTAGCTGTGGACCATATCTCTCAACAGTTGATTTGTAAAAGCGGTTTATACGCCCCACACCTTCAATGCCCCCAAAGACGTAAATACACCTGTCTCTATAGTTGATTGCTGAGTGGTAGTAGCGCCGTTCTTGCATGCTTGAGACAGCCTCCCAGGATTGTGTGTTAATGTCGTATCGTTGAACAGTGCTGCAGGCTTCGTAATGAACTTGTCCACCTATAAAATAGATGCTGCTACCCAATGGAACTGCAGCACAATCCTGAGGTGCAGTGGTTTCACTAACACGCTCTACCAAAGTTGGTGAACACAAGGAGGAGCTGTGTTTGAAATGTCTAGCACTCAAAGGGTTCTTAAAGAAAGTTAGTTGAGGGTCGAGCCCGTAAAACCGTAGGTAAAAAGCGTCACCGGTGAAAACCAAAGGCGTAGTTGTTTCAAAACAACTGTATGAGTATGTAATGTATGACCAAGGACCAGCAAATGGAAGCCAGTAACACAACTGATTTCCAGGGCAATCTGGATCACGTGCCAATCCAAACATAACAAGGTTGTAGAAGTGTGCACTTTTTTTCAAGTCATCTAGTGAAACCTTTGCTCTAAGTTGGTGGCCAGTGTAAGAATGTAACTCATCAATACCTTCTCTCTCAGCAAGAAATTTCAAGTACAAATCTGGAATACTGGTCATGTGAACTAAGTGAAGAAGATTCTTAAATGATTCTTCTCTTTGAGGCTTTGAATACTTGTACCAATGGATAAGAGATTCCAGCATCTGAGCCTCACTGGACATAATATCATCATTTGACAAAAAGTACTTGAGATCTTCCTCAGTAATTTCTAAAAATTCCTCTACTTGTGCGATTTCCCAAAAATTGCTACGAGTCAACTGTAGAATGTCTCTGTTGATCTCACTCAGGCAATTAAATGATTTTACTAAATCATATATGCACCAGAAATTTGACATGGTTGACGAACCCTTCAAAAATGCAACAATAGCTGTTCTCAAGTGCTCTATCAGCAAGTAGTCAGTGGCTTGCAGCAAGTTCTTTATGTTGTGGAAAGTGATGGAAATTTCTCCACTGTAAATGAAGTGCAATATCTCATTGACAGCTATTTCATCAACCATGCTAAAGTCCACATTGTTTTCATGAACCTCTTTCATGTCAGACCTGACTAGCCCTTGAAAATAACAGCTGACAGCTGCTAAGACATTTTTGTGGACTGGAACAATCTTTCCACTATTAGTTGTCAATGTAAGGTCACAAAACAATCCCTCAACCCAAAATTCCATTATTGCTTTCAGAAGAGACTCTTCACGACAAAAAAAGAACTCTTCCCAGGTGCCAGTAGAGTCAAAAGCAGAGCTCTCCTTTGCTGAGGAAAGGTATCTTTCTAATGGTTCCTTTAAATCCTGTATACCCAAGAAGTTTGCAATGCTGAGAGCTGATTCAGCCTTCTGTTGACCCGGAAGTCTGCATTTTCCAATGTAAAAAAAATTGAGAACATCTCCTAAAGTAGTCGGTTCCACATTTGTTAGTTCATAATGAGCTGCAGCTCCCGATACTTTAAACAAGTCTCTAAAGAACTTACAACTTGCTGCCAACACATTCTTGTGTACAGGAAAATCTTCTCCACTAACAGCAACTTGAAAATCAACAAAAAGTTCCTGATGTCGGAAGCTGTTGAGAGTTTCTGCAAGAGAGATGCTGTACTGCTCAATTTCTGCCTTCTCACTTGTCAACTTTTGCGATTTTGGCAATTAGTGATTTTTCCCTTTGGATGACTCTCCTCGTTCTAGTGTTTCAGTAGGGTCTGAATCAGTGGTGGCTGCAAGATCATTGCATTTGCATTTGGAAAACAAGGCACCCATTTTATGGAAGTGTCCTCTTGAAGCTTGTACAATGAGCACTACATCTGCATTTATGACAGATTTTACTATTTCCCTTTACAGCTAGAATCTCCATTATTTCCTCTAAGGGCAGAGAAGTCAGATTGCAGGATTAACTGGTTGGCACATAGCTGGAACTTCTATATAGGAAAGAAAAACATTCATTTTCGATCTGGTTAGAGTAACAAAATGATGTATATGAATAAAAGAAAACAATACCAAGGTATTAAAACCACACCCAAGTATATTTCAAATTATGAAGAATCAACTATCTGTGTCAGGCCAGTGGCCAATACAGCCAGAGCTTATCATAGTTTCCGTAGCATAAAGTGACTATGAGCATTTCGACTTCCCCCTGGATGGGATACTAGTCCATCAGAGGGTTAATCCCAGCATTAAATTCTCTGGTACCCATTTATACACCTGGGTGGAGAGAGGCACTTTGAGAGTAAAGTGTTCTGCCCAAGAACACAACACAATGACCCTGGAAGAGGTTAAACACAGACCGCTCACCATACCCCCGTATTAATTACAGTTTTTATTCATGAGTTATTAAGCCCACTAATAATAACAATGCATGAATAACAAATGAAATTAATAAGGGGGTATGGTATACTTGGGTCAATACTGAATACAGCCACTACATTTCTATTAGCTATCTTTTTGTTTCAGTTTTATTTTTATGGCCAATATATAGTGATTTTATTACGGCAAAAAGGAAGATTTTCGGCAGTTCCCTGATATAAGCCTAGGCAACATTAACAATCCTAATGTGATATTTATACAGATAGATACTCGGTTCTCTCCGGCTACCATGCACAAAACGCACTGAATAAAGGCTTGTCATGTTTAGATCTTTACCTCGCGCACTTTTACCTCTCTGAATTGAACCTGGATTTGATCTGTCCCCTTGAATGGTCAGTGTTTGAGCACATCATAGACATCTTACAAAATTGCTCTTGCCGCAAAGATGGCGGACGGCAATCCGAGCACTCCCCGACGCCCTGACATCATACAAACCGATCCGAAGTCAGGCGAGGGTTTCGTTCCCAGTCTTTTCCAACCGAGTGATTTTTCAACATGGCGTGGCGCAATACGGAAATTTGGCATTTTCGTGTTTTTTTACAGCCCAGTCTGATCGATCGATATTTAACGTCAAATGATATCAAGTGAAGTAGTACTCTGCAACGTTGCTGATCATTGTTATCTAATGGATGGGAAATTACAAATGAGGTACGACAATTTTAATAACATCGATGAGATGAAGATCAGATCGAACGAGGGAAAAAAATCGTGTAGCTTACATGAACATGTAAGATGCCAGTTATCAAGTCTACAGTCTACAGCGTACATAAAGTAAACTTTATTTTGTCGTACATTTTTTTAGGAGCAGATGTTACCGAAGGATGTAAACAAAAGCTTACTAGAATTTTATAAGCTATCTGATCTTCCATTTTGATTCTTATTAAGCTTTAATATATAAGCTTATAATTTCAGTGAATGATTCAAACTATAAAAAGCCTAATACCGTAAACTGCCAACTATGACCCCCCTGCTTATAAGCCTCCCCCCGGTTACAGGCCCAGCTATCTGTAAACCAAAAAATATATCTGATTAGAAGCCCCCACCCCTCCCTCGGATATAAGCCCCGCTCTAGCCTTCCTTGTTTTGAACTCGTTTTATTATGATGTTTTAATGTTTAATTACCAATAAATGAAAAAACTATTTTGATTGACATATGCAGCTATAGCTCATTTGGAAACAGTTTTTTATCCCGGTTATAAGCCCCCTTGGATATAAGTCCTGGCCTTTGTTTATAAGCCCATCTAAAAGTCCGTACGAAGTTGTATAAGCCCAGAGCTTATAAGCAGCAGTTTATGGTATCTTTTTATTTTGACGGGTAACATGAGTTCATTACTTTTGTGATGATATTCTATGCAGAAAATTGAAATGCTGTTGTAGAGATACTTTTAGTGTGATTTACCCTGCAACACAAGGATTCCCTTCTCTTTCTGCTTAGTGAGAGATGAGAGGGAACCTCTGCTTGCAACTGCTCAATCGTGTTTGCTATCATGTTTGCTCAAATTATGTCAACTTATTATATGGCTAGCTCTGTGGGCGGGCAGGATGAAGCAAATCCGGTACTGTGATTGGCTACTCAAGCGGGCAAGATGACACTATCTTGCCCGCTAGGGATTACCTGCTGTGTCCTGAAAGAAAATAGTCTTCTTTTTCCATATAATAAATCTTATATTGACCAATCTTGTCCGGTCAAGATGGCTGTATATTAGCATTGTTCTTTTTTTGGGTGTCTATGGACCTCGACTCTGTCTCAGTCCGTAAACATCCAAAAAAAGAACCTGGCCAATATCCATCCATCTTGATCTCATGCTTGGTCAATAACTCATATATATTGCATGTTTTGTGTTTTGTCATGGGAAATGTTCACACACAATCAAATTTCTAGCTATTTTGGCTGAGTCATGCAAATAACTTGAATTCCAGCTTTTCTACTATTTATTTGTTCGAGAAACTAGAAATTTTGTAAAGTTCCATGAAATACTGAGTGACAAAGAAACTGAAGAATTAAACCAACATTGACTTTATTTAAGATTATAGTAATCTAACTAGCACATGCTTTTCAAATTGCAAGCTAGTGGCAAATATTACAAGCTGTTTTGGAATACGTGTAAGCTTAAACAAAACCTTAAATTTGTTAACCTATCAACAGTCACATCAAGCTCCCTTGACATCAAATAGTTTGTGAAGGTGAATTAATGTACAGCAATAGTTGCTGGAACCATGCAAACACCAAAAGATCAAAGATTGCCAGTTATTTATCAGACAAAAGTTTTGAATTTTGATGCATATGTGGTAAACCCATGTCAGTACAGTGTTGCCAATAATATTATTATAATTTTCTATATTTTCTATTGCTGGCATTCTTGATAATGGACAACATTTTGAATCCTATCTGTGATAATGGACAGCACTTTGAATCCTATCTGTCACGTGTTAGTTTCAAACCGGTTGAAACTTGTCAACAACCAGGGCTGGGTTGTTCGAAAGCCAATGAACTCTACTCCAGGATTAAAAGTTAACCAAAGTATTAATTTTTCTTGCATAGAAGTGTTTTAAATTGCTTATGTTTTGTGTAGTTTGAGATTATTCAGAGGAAAAACTGAAGGACAAACAATATAAAGAGAAAACCTCACCGAAAAGTTACAAAACTGAAATTAAAATTATTGCTAATCTTGGGTTAGCTTAATCGGGATTTGAACAACGTGGCCCAGTACTATTATTCATCCCTAGTTGTAGATGCCAGCTAATCAAATGATCGACTAGTTATAAGCAGAAGTTCCTTTCTCATCTCCCACTGAGCAGAAAAAGGAGGGAATCTCTGTCTCACAGGGTAGTGAGTTTGAACATGATAGTATTTTTTAACTGGTTGAGACTTTTTTTTCATCAAATTCATAATTGATGAAAGTAGAACCACGGAAATGTAAATTCGATAGAGCTTTAAATTTCAGTCAAACCTCTACTAAGCTGTCACCCTCGGGGAAATGGGAGGTGGCTGCTTAATAGGGGTTTGTTTACCTTGAATATTTTTGCCATCGGGTTAATTTTGTAGTGAATATGGAGTCACATCAAGACAATCATTATAAACATGTGTTTGAATGTTTTTATCACTTGTCACCTTGTATTTCTTCTTATCTGTCATCACCTTTTCCAAAACAAAGTTTTTAAACTTTGGGTGGTCATTTAATAGGGGTAAAGACAATTAGGAAAACCCTTCTCTAGATGACCAATAGGTTGCCATGACTGCTTAATAGAGGTGGCCGGTTAATAGGGGTTTTATTTACAGTATTTTACTGACAATAAATTTGGGACTTTGATAACTGGCTGCATAATAAGGGTTGGCTGCTTAATAGGTGGTCGTTAAATGGGTGACTGCTTAATAGAGGTTCGACTGTAACTTTAATTAAATTTAGTTTTTAATTATTGGAGAGGGTGAAACTCGGAAAATAATGATTGCAGAAACATTTTTACATGTTGCTGTACGTGCTATTTTCCAAGTCTTAAAACTGTGCATGATAGTACTTAAGCATGTGTGCTTTGCACAATTTGGCAAGCATGTACATGCATTTTTTTGTAGCTTTTTCTTTGAAATCTGAGAATACTAATCAGCTTTCCTTTGTGTATTAAATTATTGGTTTTGTGTTGGGTTTTAATAGTTCTCCAGAAACTACTCTAAACTGCGAGAACAAAGTAATTGCTAAGTTAGTTTTCTTTATTCATTTTAGATTGAGACATTTACTTGTGAATCTGGCTCCCTGAATTATGCAAAGTGAAAATGACCTTAACTGTGGACACCCTGCCCATGTGCCGAGAAGAAGATATTGTTGTGTGCAGTGTGACTCGTAAGTCAGTTTTTGTGTAAATCCTAACTCGTGTCGGTGTTGATCCAAATGGGTGGTGTACTGACAAAATGCAGATGTTCTTCTGCTGAAGAACAAGCAAACCCTTTAGAACCAATAGAACAAATAGAACCGTGCAATGTGGAGATATCTGTGGCGACAAGTGAAGAGGAGAACAATATAGGAGACGTAGAATCAAGAACGACACAGGAAAACAGTGAGGGTGCTGAAGATACTGAAAAGGTTTTATACCAACATTTCTTGCTTGAAACACTTAACCGTTTCAGACAGGATAGTGTTTTTACTGATTTTACCATTAGAGTGAATGGCAAGGATTTCCCCATTCACAAAAATGTACTGGCTGCGAGTTGTGGTTTCTTTAAGGAGTATTTCTCTAAAAATGAAAGCTCCCAAGCCGTCTGCCATGAATTAGCCAAAGTTGAGCCTGGTGTTATGGAGAGTATTCTCACTTTACTGTACACTGGAATATGTAAACTGGATCATCAAACTTCAACAACGATGCTCCAGTCCTTGGAGATTTTTGGTGTGCCGGATTTATTGGAACCATTAAGGAAACAAATGGCTTTGGCTTCGAATAATGCCGCCAGTGATGAAATACCTCCCAGAGTAAAAACATTTAATTCGCACTGTCAAGGAGCCCTATTGTCCACACTGTTGGCATTTCAGCGCGATGGATTGTTCTGTGATCTTACTTTAACAACAGGGAGTGGCTTGGTGATTCCAGTTCATAAGAATATTCTGGCGGCTGTCAGCTGTTACTTCAAAGGACTTGTTCGGTCTGAAATGAAAGAGGTTTATGAAAGCAATGTGGACTTTGCTGTTATAGATGAGGCAATTATAGAGGAGCTACTGAATTTTCTTTACAGCGGGGAGATTTCCATCACTTTTGACAATGTCAGGAGCTTGCTTCAAGCCAGTGATTATCTGCTGATAGAGCGCTTGAAACGAAGGATTATTGAATTTGTAAGAGATTCTTTAAAGTTGTCCAATTTTTGGCTCATATATTCTCTGGTGAGAAGTTTTGATTGCCTCGATGAGGTTTACCAAGAAATGTTAAATTTGATGTGTAACCACTTTTGGAGCATTGCGCTCACAAGGGATTTTCTTGACATCACGGACCAAGACATGAGATGGTTTCTTTCAAATGATGATATTGTGGCAAGCGAGGCGCAAATGTTAGAATCGTTAATTCGCTGGTACAAGCATTCAAAGCAGGAGCGAGAAGAGTCATTTAAGAGACTTCTCAATCTCATCCATGTGGGTATTATTCCTGATCTCTACCTGAAGAAACTGGCAATTGAAGAAAAGATGGATGACTTGCTCCCCTTGTCTGGCTACAAGCTGAAAGAAGAAGTGTCAGCCGAAGATGTGTGCAAGTCGGCGCATTTCCACAACGTTGTGCTGTTTGGACTAACCCACAGACTGCATTACACGTACTCCTACAATCTGTGTTACTGGCTTCCGTTTGCAGGTCCTTGGTCTCTCATTGCTCGCATTCCTCATAACAAGTCAATGCTGGCGTATGGTACCCCGCTGATTTACACCAGCTCTGGACTTTACGTGCAGGTGCCATGGAACAATCCCAAGCTCGCTTTCCACAGGAATCCTCTGACTGCGCGACATTTCATTCCAAACGCTGGTGTTGCACCAACCTGTGACATAGAGCCTTCCGCACCCATGACTTTTGATTGCGCCGCTGTCACCATGGGCCGGTATATCTATTTGATTGGCGGGATGTCCATGCAAGAGGTAGCGGAAGTGAAGACTGTTCAACGGTATGACGTCGAAAAGCAGACCTGGGCGTCAGTCGCAGATATGTGCGAGCCGCGGTACGAACTCACAGCGGTTAACTACAAGGATAAGTGTATCTTTGTGTTTGGAGGCACTGATGGCTCGGCTCACAGGGAGTGCTTGAAGAGTGTGGAAAAGTACGATCCACAGCAAGACCGCTGGTCATATGTGAAGTCCATGCACCAGCCTCGATCCAGCGCTTTTGCGTTTGTCCACAATGACAAGATATTTGTGATTGGTGGAGAACGAGGTGAAGACATCACCCCAACTGACTGCGAAGTCTACGATCCAGTGACAGATGACTGGCAGGTGATCGCAATCCAGGTAAGTAAGATGTACACCTTCAAAGGAAACCCAGACGAAGGATCTTTTCTTTATCTCACTTCCGGCGGAAGCAGAGAGGAAGGAACAGCGCGTGGTGTGGAGAGTACGGATGTGAGTGGACGAGCAGCACAACAAGATTTGGCCAAGTTCGAAGAAGAGACGATCACGCGACCTTATGTGACATGTATCAATGGAGTAATAGCTGTCCTTGACTTTAGCACGTGTGCGGATGGACTGTGCAAAGCAGACTTTTACTTTGTAGATCCGGATTCTGGTGATTTTAGGACGTTGCATTCGTTGTTCACTTGGCCCACTGACATATCGTATGGCGCCATTATGCCTCTGAGCAGAAGAGACATGATCAAAGCGCTCAAAGATTACTCAGCTGGCGACGTTTCCAAAAGTCATTAACGATCCGGCTTGATTGAGATTACACCCGCTGGCTGGTTCTCACGTCTTCCGGTGCCATGCCAGAGGTGAGCCTGTTCACAGGCTACTTGACTTTTTAAAGTACCGTAACCTTTCAATAATAAGCCCGGAAATTTTTCAATTGCATACAGATACTCTTTTAGGATTTCCAAAATCCGAAGTGGTCTAAAAATAACTTCATAGGGATTACCTTGGGAATGAGGCCTTTATTGGAGATTAATTCTCTTACCTTTCATCCAAAGAACAGTGGATGAATTTATATATATTTTTATTTATTATAGGGATTTGCCCCAAAAAATCTTGGTAAATTATTTTCGGGGGAGGGGAGTATTTTTGAGGTTCCTGTCATTGAAATTTTATGGTAACTGCTAGCAGAAAATTCGAATTTTTGCCGAGCTTACGGCGATGTAAATATTTGCCGAGATTGACTGAACCTGGATAGTCTTGAATCATGCAGATGGATTCTTACCTTTAAACAGTACTATATGTTGTTTAAAATTAAAGTAAGAATCCGTTATTTTTTTTCAACGCTTGAAACGACAGAAAAACAAAAGAATTGCTATTAATCCTCGGACTGGAGACTGAGGTTATGGGCCACGTTACCGCCATTCTTGTTAAAGAGAGTTTTTATTTCTGTGTAAATATAGCTTTTAAACCGCGCTGGCGTTTAGAGTGTCTGTCTTTTGTCAGTGTAAACAGGATTTGCTCTGATAAAGTCAAACTAAAATCTGAAATCTGATGTAGTGTCACTTGTGTTTTGTGTAATCATCGGTGCTAGCTCGGAAAACGAGTAACAAACAGTTCAACTCCAACATACCCAACAATATCGGTTGCGAAGAATCTGGTTTATTTCATTATTTACAGGACGCATTTCAATTAGTGTCTGACTGAAGAAAAAAAGAGCCGATTCCACGACGGTTCTCTTCATCGTGATGGGGCGGAAACAATGCTACTATCGGGTTTTATTGAATTACTGGAGATCCAATATAACCACCCCTCTCACTCTATGCAAGTCGATATTATGTTGATAAGTCCCACTTCACCCTTGTAGAACGTGAACACTCCCGCACTCCATCCCCCACAGGCCACCCAGATCTCTTGGAAAACAGACGATTACAGTTTGGTGGGCGTCTTGGCGTGATCACCTCCCATGAATATCTTCCAAGGTATTTTTGCTTGTTTCTAAGGATCAGTTGAATCTCAGTAACCTGAAACTAGACATTAACAGAAGAATAAATTCCACACACACTGCGGAAAATGTTTAAGCTTAAGTTCGTACGGTCCATTTTCTCAGAAGATCACGAAGCATCCAGTTGGCGACTCCGACGTATACGGGCGGGGAAAAAGTCGATGCATAACGATGATAAGTGTTCGGGTATTCCAAAGTTGCTCCAAATTACCTATACGAATTGGACTCCACTCAGTCCTATTAGAATTATTTGTCCAGCCAGCCATTACAGGTCGACAGAAAAAAAACAAGGAAATTAAGAATTCTCTTTCAAAGTTACAGAGTAGCTTAACAACAATGGACGCCAGCGCAGGTGAACAAACCCTTTTATTGCCTTTCACAGTCTCTGCATTGAGTTCCTACAATGGGCTTGATGCACGACCTTTCAATAAATATTACTCTGTCATACAGAATTTACAATCTGGTTCATAGCACTGACCCGTCCACTGTCTGACCAACGCCTCCCCTACCCCACTCCTGACAAGCAGACCCTTCTAGGGTGGGAATTGAGAGATCAGGTATTGGACCAGCCACTGGCCTGCTTTTGCATAAAGCCCTATTTGTTGCCATGGCCTTTGATACAAACAAAACCCTTCAATTCTTTCAAAAACTATCTATACCCAAACTCAACATTTTTGACGCAACTTGCAGTTAAAATTGTACGCCCTGTTTAATTTTTCAATAACCCATTTTTCCCATTCCTTCCCCTCTCCCCCAGCTTTTCTATTTCAGTCACGAGCACACCCTAAATTTGGTATTTACTGCAAATTTTTGCCGGGAATGACCATGTAACCAAAAACATGGTTAACATAAACTCTAAACGGGGCAAGTGGGTAAATTTAGTAAGAGTGTCTCCCCGTTTAAAAATAAACCATTTTCTATGTAAATAATAACTTGTTCAGTTCATAAATTTGAAATAACTTAGTAGGTCGTGAACGAGTTTTGGTTAGTTTTAATGTGAGAAAAATAAGTTTTTGTCTTAAATAAGGAACGAAGTGATCATGTCACTCACAAATATGAACCCAGTTTCAAAAGTTCAAAAGTTCAAACGTCGCAACGTTAATTAACAATGCCCTGCACTGTCAAACACCCACATTTTAAAAAGAAACGTTACTCTTATGTTTTACATTTAACCATCCTTAGTAATATTTACAATTTATATTCTTTTCTTTTCCCGATTCATTCTCTATCCAAACAATTGAAATAAATAGCAAAGTTTCCTTTATACAAAGTACCGTTAATACAGGTAGGCTCGCAAGTCACGTGCCCAGCACGGTTTTACGCGCCAGGAATTATGGGGTGCCACATGGCAATGGGTTTCCTCAACGAGGCTAACATGTGATTCCAATGTGAAAATCCACTTCCGGTCACCTGCTGACCGAGTAACGCATGACCGATATTTTGATCGGCGCCGTGTGAGTGTTTATTGACAACAAGGATCTTGAAGGTAACTCTCTGTAAGGTGTCTGATGTAACTTTGAATGTGAAAGCTTCGTTGTAAACGGGATTTAATGTCTTTTTCTGCATGGCAGTTCGCTTTCGACCCAACCTGGTTTTGTTCAACATGAGGAACACTTTGACAGCGGGGCCTGCGATAAAAAAAAAAGATTCGATCATGCAGTGTTCCAAATTAAATTCGCCTGCTTATCCAATCGGTCTTACTGCTAGAGCGGTTTTCACTTGAGTGTCGAAAAGTAACTGGTTTTGCATCAGCTACGCTACGCTATTGGCTTAAAAAACCTCGCGCCAATTTTTCATCCAATCAGAAGTGAAACCAAAACCAATCGTTACTCGCTCGCACTCGTTTTGCCGCGCTTTGCGTCAGCTGCCTGTAATTACTTCGAGTTTTGATTGGCTCATTCTATTGTATATGTCCTTTGTGATTGGCTAGAGTGATTATTTTGGTTTTGGTTTTACGACACTCAGTTGAAAACCGCTCTAATGGAGTTAACAATTATGGTAATATCACTTTTCTACAGGCTTCAGTTCTCGCTTAAAAGCTAGTCAAGCGCCATAAACAAAAGCCAGTTGATGTTAAACATAGGGTTATCATGACGTCATATAGTATGGCACTTACCCCATAGCCCTGATGTAGACTCTATTTTCAGGTTTCGTGCCTTTAAGATGACAATCGTCAGACGCTGAGTGGTAGGGAAGTAGTTTAACGAGACAAGCAGCTCACCAACGTACTCGTGAGGTGGCTTCTGCAGTGAAAGATAATGAAAGGAAGCTGATAAGTCATTCATAGCATAAAAGTCCATTGTTTTGATCGCCATTTTAAAACGGAAACGCAGGCCGTGTTTTCGTAGTAATTCTTCAGTAGTAGATTTGAAAAGATGACATGAAAGACATGATAAGATTTTTGAAAGAGAGCTGAGCATAGCATGCACACTTTCTTTGTTTCAGTAACGAGTCGTTGAAAGTTAATGCAATTATCTTAAAGATTTCCAGGCCTCCGAGAGCAGCAAAATAAAGATCAACACTGTCTATAACCGTCCTTTAGCTTACAGACAATGATGCTTTAAATATTATCAAAATTCATTTAAAGCTGATTTAAAGATTGTTGTACGTGACCCTCTGCGTGCAAATATTTTATTGTAGAATTTTAAACATTTCTTAGCGTTGTTTTCTTTGTATTCGTGTCTCTTGAGGATTCTTAGTGGATATTTATTTTATATTCGTGTAACGTAATCGTGCCCATTTTTATTTATTCAGTTGAGTTGATGATGACGTGAAGTAAACGTCGAAACGTCAAACGCAGATCAAAGTTCGATATTTTTTAAATTAGTTTTTGATATTCTAAAAGCACAGAAAGACTCAGTTCGTTCCAAACTTTTTGCGTGACCCTTGGCGCTCAACGATTTTAAGAAGGAATTTTATTTCCCAGCCAAGTTCAACTTTCAATGGTGTAGGAAATGCTGCAGATCGAGAATTTTCTAAGTGATGTTTATTACCTTCGGTTCGCCCGCGATATCATACCACACGGGCTGCGGCGTCCCAAAGTCTGCCTCGTTCAGGGATAACTCCACTTCACCAATCACATGCGAGTTTGAAAACGCGTCCAGTTCAATCAATTGTATGCAAAACGAGAGTGTATCGGTTGAGTTCCCGTCCAACGAAAACAACACTTCTTCGTTCCACTGCGGCTCGAACGTCATTTTCTGTTTTTCAATTTCCCTCTCGTCCAATTTTTTGTCGCCTTTGCGGAGCTGAATGACAGGATAAACGTAAGCTGTTTGGACGTTCGTTCTGCAAATAATTCCCTTGGCTTGCACCAGTCCTATGATTAACACATCTTCCTCTTTGTTGAAATCAAGCCAGAACTGAAGTTTTCCAAAGTCACCGGGTGTTTCAACAATGTAGGGCTCTTCTCCGCTTGAGATGCTGTCATAATCAGCTACAGAACCGTTCTCGTAACTTTGATAGGTAAACCCTCCTGCTGGCCAATGGCTCTTTTGGTTTATGACGTAAGTCTCTTGAGAAGGGCTGCGTCTGCGATGTGTTCTGCGGTATCGCCACCATACCCAGCAGCACTTGCACAACACGGCTAATAACGCAGCGGCTAGGGCCGAGGCTACCCCGACCACTACCGCTAAGACCAAAGATAATTTCACGGCCACTACAAAACAAAGGGAATTTATTTGAAATATAAAGCTTCTGCGCAGAGTGATACAGAGTGACAAGGTTACAGACATCTTAACACACTGTCCTCTACACTGGTACAACGAAAACTACACAGCTATACTCACACGAAACTCAGATTCAGGTGTTGTTTCGACTAGAGGTAACTCATATTATCAAATTATAAGAAGTTTAAGAAGACCCCACTTATTTATTGGCTGGTTTTAATGAGATTTCTTGCATGAACAAAGAGAGAAACGAGAATCTGAGGCCCTGTCCACGCCACGCCGGATTGAAAACGGATGTTTCACTCTGAAAACGCAACAATTTCTGGTCATTTCGGATTTGTGTTTGAGGAAAACTCGGTCAGTTTATTACCGTGACGCCATCGTTCTCAGAAAGCTCCGTTGTCAAGTGTTTTCCGTCCACACGAAAACGAAAACCCGTCGTTTTCAAATTCCTCCGGTTTGAAGAGCGTTTTCGAAAAGTTCCGGTTTCGTGTCGGATTAGTGTGTCGAAATAAAGCTGCGTTTTGAAGTTTCTCCGACGTAGTGTAGACGCTGCCTAAGGGATTTGAATTTCTCTCGGGAGGATTTTTAATGAGCTACGACAATTAGCTAGTTTTGACAGAACAGAAGGGAAATCCTATTGGAGTCATTTTGTTTCTAAGCAACTACTTCCAAGTGCTCAGACAAGAGTCTAAATACGTTAAATGAAAATGATGAATTCAGACGGACATATCGGGAATATAATAGTAATATGATATCGGTGATATTTAACATGAAGCTGATTTCAGTCAGCAGGATCGATGAGGCATTATAATTTCCCTCAACATTGCCCTTGTTGCTTTGGTTTGAGCCTCTGGGTTTGAAACATGAGTATCCTTTCCCTTGTTTTTCAGAAAACTGCAGGCTAGTTCCTTTCTAGGGCCTCCTAAATCTTTCCTGCTCAATCCGCCATACATTTTTCTCTTGTAATGCCCTATGCATGGCCGAATAGTATATTTACAGAATGTGGACAACAGAAACAACTGGAAAAAGCACACTTTTATGGTCTTTTATATGCTCAACCTACATTAGCATGTCTTAAAAGGTTGCACAGATACAAAAATCAATCTCAATCCCTTTAAAAATAAGCGCAGACTTAAGCACTACAAACTCAAGAAAACGGCTTTTCATTACAACTTGTCAATAGCGACCTAGATTTTTGAAGTCTTCCTTAGCTTCAAAACGTCCTTACAACATTCAAAAACTGAGTCTGAACAAATGTTTTCGATTATTGATTTGAACATCCAAATGACCTAATTTTTCTATCACCGGATTGATAGGACTTTGATTTTGCCCCCATCTAAAATGACCTGTTGGACTACAGCGACCGATTTTCGTGCTAAATACAGAATGAGAAACCCTCCCAGCTTCATTTGGAAACGCCCTTGTTTCAGAACGAAAGTGGTTCACTGGAACGACAGCAGCCGGGAGCGAACCATTCAGCGGATTCTTGGCGTGTTTTAAAAACAAATCTTGATTCTCAGTCTTTTGAGCTCTTTTAATGTGTAAAAGAAATTGCTTGAATGGGTAAAGAGGTTTTTGCTGTTAATTAGGAAACCATAATATCTGGTTAAAAGAACAACTTAAAAAAAATAGATCTACATTCAATGTTGACGAAACCATGTTGAGCTCTTTTAATGTGAAAAAGAAATTGTTTGAATGGATAAAGAGGTTTTTGCCGTTAATTAGGAAACCATAATATCTGGTTAAAAGAACAACTTAAAAAATAGATCTACATTCAATGTTGACGAAACCATTAAAACGTTCGTTGGGTTCGCAAATCCAAACCTTGAAAATACTATTTCAAAATTGTATTTGCCCAAGGCAGTTATTACCCTTGTTTTTATCTTTATTTTCATCCTGAAATGTGCTTATGTACGGTTGCCCTCCATCTACACCTGTTTCCACTTAGTTATTTTCAGAACAAAGTCAAGTGTTTATGTGAACGATAACGATTTGTTATCCATGAAAAAGGAAAGCTCGGCTTCAATAAAGAAGCGGGGTCATGCAGACAACAAAATAGAACTGAAAAGAAAAAAAGATTTGTTCAAGGGAGAGCTTAATCCCGCGAAAGACCATAACACTCGTGACACAAGCTTTATCTTTAGTATAAAAACTCTTTACTCAAGTTCAGGCGAACAGCACTCCACAAAAAAGAACCCACTCGCGAATTTCACTGTTATTTTTTCAAGTATCATATTCTATCTATCACTTTCAAATCTTTGCTTGTTTGGATACTTTTTTTATATTCTGCTTTAAAGTAATTCTGAGCGATAATTTCAGTTTCCCAGGACAACCAATTGATTGAAATTTGAAAGAAACTCAAAATATTGACCTAAATTTGCAATTCAGATTTCAAGGCAGAAGCTTTACTTGCGAGGTAAATACGGCAAATGGCATATATTTCTGTAATTACTCATACAAATTCTCCTGGATACGACACGATTTTTCTGGAAAAACATAAACTTCAAGTGAAATAAATTCACGACATGACAAACTGCGAAATATAAAATAGACCCGTAACGAAATAAGCAGCAACTGTTTTTCTACCATGCTTACAAAACATGTTTCACAGAAAAGCCCGTGAAACCATTGCTCCTTTCGTGGCACTATAACGAACCTCGGGCTTTGTCAACAAAAGGATACCCTACCGGAAGATTTCAAAGTTTAAGTACGTAGCATTGCTCTAATAGAACTAGATATTCAAGAAAATGGCATCGACTTCCTTTTAGAAACTAACATTAACGCGGCATATTAGGAAGTTGGCATTCGGGTTAAAATCTTTATTCATAAACGCCGTGCTGTCGCAAACACATACGGACGATTGCTTTCGGCAGTTGGGTTTTATTTGCAGACTTGCACGTTAATCCGGCTCTAGCGAAATCCTTGAAATAATTTTGTCACTACCATTGTAGAATCTACAAGAAAAAGCTTTCTCGAGACAAAAGATTAATTGTTAAGTCTGGTGAAACTCCGGCTGAAAAATTGATCCAGTGAATTTTTGTCGAGCACGGGAGTGTTACCCAGCTTGTGTGGGGTAGAATATGGAAAGTAAATCCTTGTCGAGCTTTTAAGCAATATAAGTAGGATTTAATCCCTAACAGGTCATTACAAATTAAAGGCGGACAAGTAACTTTAATTTCAAAAGCAATAGGCCAGCTTCCAACTTAGCACACGCACAAAATTTTCTCATGCAAAGTGCCGCACCTTTCAGCCAAACACATAGCTGCCCAAAAGATCTTACCAATTGGTAAGAACCTACCTCTGTAGTTTCAGCTAGCAAATACAGGCAAATGATCTACTTACTGTGTGATAAAATCCCGGAGGCTTGTCCATTGCAAACGCCTTTCTTCAATTATAGCCGAGTGTATTTCGTTCACCGCTTTGACCGTCAGCGCAAAATGGGTCCAAAATTGCCACACGAAATCGCAAAATTCTGCCCTGTCGATTTTGAAAGTTTTGACCTTCAATCGAAATGCCTCTAAGCTGCAAGAGAAGGTGCGATGCTTATCTGAGCCTGATAACTACATTTCAAGCCATTATTGCAGATCTGGAGGTCTCGAGTGCCTCATTTGCAAGTTTAAGACAGATCGAGCTGTGATTGGTTGAGGAAGAAAAACATTTAATCTTCCATCGACAAGTATGGATTTATTTGGTTGCCATCTTCATTAAAGTAGCGGCGGCAATACCTAGATTAAAAACCTGCATCGGAAATAGAATAAATGATCAAGATACCAAAACAGAAATTATCTTTTGTTCAAGGTTTCACAGGAACTTCTAGCATAAATAAAATTCAAATGCCTTTCCTCGAAACTGCAAGGGGCGGCAGTTCAACCCGTTCATTTATACTAAATTACAATTCTTTGACATTATAATCACAGTCAATGTTCAATATATTTACCAGTCAGGACAATGTTTAGCCGGACCGGAAATTTGTCACCCCTGAATTCCCAGTGTATACACCTAAAAGCTTTCCCAAGAAAACATATTTCTCGAAAACACAAATTTGCATGAAAATTTGTAAATAAATGTGTGCAAATGGCTTGATGGAAATGTCTCGAGTACATTGTCCTTTTAATCTATTTCTTGTTGTGAGTGTCGCATACGCGTGTTAATTGTTTTCCATAAAATGCATTTCTATATTTTGAATAAATACGGCAATTTATGTCGTGTGAGGCATACCAATTACTAACTTTTTTGATTAATTGAACAACCTTCGTTCTGGTGCTTTCAAAATTTTTCGGTCAGCTCAAAAAGGTCATTTCCGTCTACGAAAAGTACCACCTTTGTGGTTAGTAGTAGTTCAAGTTGAGCTGATTCGCGCAAACACAGTGCATCACAATACATTCACATCATTGCTTCCAAGCTGTGTTTGTATTCTTGTAAGCTCAAAGACTGTTCTTTTTCATGCTAATAACGATTTACGACTGTAATTCAGGCTTCCGCACTTAGTGTTAGCGACTTCCCTGGTGATTTATAACAAATTGAAGAAATTTAATCCCGTAGATTTTGCTTCTTCAAACAGTGATCAGATCAACAGACTGAGCGGAAATTTATTTTGTTTTTCGCTATCAAACCTGGTATGTCCTTTTCATCACATTGTAATGTAGACATCAGGTTAAAAAGCAAGACACTATTATTAGCTGGAGATATGTTGTTAACACCTTTCTATTTTGTTGAGACCTTTTTTTTGTTTACACAGGGTAGTTCTATTATTGTTTACCGATGTTTACAGACTTTGATGGATTGAACAAATTGTGTTTTTCTCTGAATCCCCACTGGATCGTGCAATCCATCACTGGCGAGGTTGATCCAGGTTTATTGGGTAAGATAGGGGCCCGGAGTAAACGACGAAGGGGCCTGGTCGACAGAGTAGGTAGCTGACCGTGAGAATTGTTCGACTTTGCGGGCCCTTTTTCCGCACAAATGGCGGGACCAAGACTCTCTGAGCCCCTCTCCTCGACCCCGCTTTGAGGTTCCCATTGACCAGCCACTGATAATAACTTGTGATCCAGGTCCCATTCATGTTCCTTGAGAAAGCATTTTAAGAGACCACAGCATTTACTTTGCTTTCTCAACGTCTTTTAATTCACGGAAAAGGAGAGCTTACCACGATTTATAGTATAGTTGAATGAGAACGGGGCAAACAACTATTAATTTTTTACTCGAAAGCGGCAGTCAAGCTGCCAAATCCTTTTGATTAAAAAATTCTTGGCCTTTACTCCCATCACAGTCGCAAACTATTACCAAACTGGCCACACATTTGGGTACCGGTTCCAACGTATAAGTTCTTTGAGGAGCACAGTGGGCAAAACTACCAAATTTGTTGTTTCAATCAAGGCTACTTCACCTTCAGTAGCGATAGATACTCGAGTTCAACTAGTAAAAGTTAGAGCTTGTTTTTCGTAGACTTGATAATTTAGCAAGAAAACATTGTAATAAAATGTCGGAAACTTTAAACCATAATGACCATATGACCATGACGATGCTTCAACGTTTGTTTAACTTCACTATCCAGTCAACTGAGAGAAAAAATGGTATACGAATATAAAATACAAATAAAAAAATGATGCTAAAAATGCTAAAAAATATAATATAATAAAATATTTGCAACCAAAGAGTAACGTAAAAAGTTTGGTACGGATGTGTTATGATACCGTGTGAACTTTTAACGTGACTCTGCGTGCCAATAATTTATTGCATTACAATTTTTTAATAGTTTTTAGCACATTTTTCTCATTTTCTTTGTATTCTTGTCTCTAAGAAATTCTCAGTTTATATTTCTATTCGTACTGAGTTCTGTTTTTTCCCAAACTTTTCCTTCAGTAGCCATGATGTGATGGATAAAGGAGTCTAGATAACGACTTCCTTGCTGATGTCTGGGGCAATACTTGAGCTCTCTGCTCTGTGTAGGCAGCCGGCTTACCAGTACCTCTTAATGAGTTCGCCATGTTGTTTTGGACTCGTTTTCGAGGCCTCTTCAATGACGTCATCAAAGGCGATCTCTTGCGAGCTGGAAAATCAACTAGCGTAGCGGGAACTACGCATGCGCTCCACGCAAGTACGCTTCTTTTGGTTGTAAATGGGTCCCTCGAATCTTGATTACCTAATGGAATTGTTTTATCAAAAACGATTGGTCTATCCATCGAAGACGGCGGAGCGGACCAAACTTTGTCATTCAGTCTTGGCAGAAAATGCTGCTTTTCCCTTTCATGTAACCGATGCTTGATAATGACTTCTGGAAGCGTGTTTTTCTCGCGTGCCAATTTAATAGTTTTCTCGCCCTTGGTTTCATTACCGTCTCGTTGAAAAACATATTTTTCTATGCCTGTCTTGTTTCTTTCGACGCGAATTTTTTCTAAATTTCTCACAATTCGCTTTGTTTCCTCAGGGTTCACATCCTCAGTGTTAGGAAATAAACCCGAGTTATCTGTTACCATAGGAACGGGAGGGTGCAAAGATAACGGCGTGCGATTGTTAAATTTCGACTTAAAGTGTCCTCGCGCTTCTTCGCTGTGAGGATTAGCGGAAATGTCGCTTTTCTCTCGCTTTTCTTCGTCCGAAGGACTCCATATTTCCGGGCAAGAACTATCTGTGGAACTACAAAATACACCAGCCTTCTTAAATTCAATCCAAACACGAGATTGCGTACATCGATTACTGTGAGAAAACTTTGCAATTTTTCCTGATTTTCCCAGGAATGATTCTTCCTTTGTCTCTTTAGCTCTCTCGGAACTTGCTCCTTGTCGTCCAGCTCCTAGATACGAAGTGATTTGTGTGTTTAACATATTTCCCAGCTTCTTTCGTTTTGTTTACTTAAAAAATAAAATATCATTGGCGCTGTCATGACTTTCTTCCTTTGAAATGAAACTAATATATAGATATTAGCTCTCGATTGTTACTGTTCTATCAATTAAAGCTCTCTTCTCGTTTGATGTAAAAGCCTCTACTTTTGAAGGCGAAAAGATCTCCACTGATTTAAACTTGAAGCTATTTCCTCCAGTATATTGTACTGTACTTGACAGCTTGTTTGCTTGAGGCCTTAACAATCGCTTCGTTTAACCTTGTACACAAGTTACCAGTGAAAAAATTTCAGAGCACCAGACTTGCCATTGTTTTTTAGAATGTCTTGATCCAGAATGAGAGCTGTCTGAAAAGCGTCAAAACCAATGTTGATTTGCCGTCAAGTGTGAAGTTGAAGCTATCGTCTGTAACGTTTTTAAATTCAAAACGATCTGAAGGTAGAACAGGTGTTTTGTCGAGTTAACAGAATGACAGGTGTTGTCTGATTGATAAGTTAACGCGGGCGGCAAACAGAGAGATATCGACCATACGATATTTTTAAAAACTGGATCATTGGATAATGCAATTCAAGAGTTTTCACTGGCTTAGTCACCATGGTATATGAACTATTATACAATGCTCTACAAATATGATAAGCGTACGGGTCATTTTTTGGGGGTGTTTGTATTTTAGTTTACTTTTATATATTTCGGGGGCTTTTTAAATAAAACAGTTATTCCACTCGGGCTTGTTGGATGTGACATGATTATAACCAACTCGGAGCTACGTGCCTCGTTGGCTATCTACCATATTGGGGGAAAATTTGCAAATCTTCCTTAAAAATTGGAGTTTCCCACTAGAATCGACTAATCAGAAAACTTTGCAACACTTTCCTAAGGCTAAGCTGTACGTTCTTGACCGTTCTTTAAACTCGTCACGCCGTCACTTCCCCTGCGTGACGACAGAGCAGAACAAGGAGAAAACACGTTTCGGCACAATTACCTTAGTCACTGGTAAAAACCCATGGTGCTTTCAAAACAGTTCATTGCTTTCCAAAAAGATTTATAAATAAAAAGCTCTTGACTTCACATTTTAAAATCAACTATTTACACAAATTCATTCAAAGTTATCTATACACTGTGAAGCTTTACTATCCTCTATGTACGTCATTAAAATTTCAATTTAGTCCTTCCATTTTGTCGCAACTGTTAGTTCCAGGCATCACAAAGTGGCATCGTGTAAAAATCTCTTCAGAGACCTGGGAACGAGACTAACCAGTGTACCAGAATGATCACGTGAGAGTTTCAGTCTACACCACGTGTACCACGTTCCATTTTCAATTCTAAACGTGACCGCAAGTGTCATTTGATGTCATTGACTGCTCCTTGGCGTCTTCTTGGGGTCCTGTGGATTTATTTTCAGAATTCGTTGTCATCTCCTAACTCAAGGAACACATCATAAGCCTCTCGGTTGCAGTTTCCATCAGGAGTGAACACATATTTATGGAATGTACCGTCCAAACACACGGCTAAAAACAAACAAGGAATTATTACACAAACAATCATTGAACAGAAAACACTTTCAAAACTAACTATTTGCCTTGATTTGATTCTTAATCGATAGCGTGGAATACATACTAAAAGAGTAATTTTAATAACTTAAACTGTGCGTTTTGATTGGTTGACCAGTCAGTACGGAGATGTTGTCTTGGCTAATCTTTTCAGCAACCAGGGCCGTAGCTAGTAGCAGGCAAATCGAGCACTTGCCTCGGTCAATTTGTTCGTTTTTGTTGTGTGTGTGTGTGTGTGTGTGTGTGTTTTTTTTTGCGTTTCGTCTATTACAAACGTTTGAACACAACTCTCTAGGAACTGCAACATTAAGTCATCATAAACACCCTAAATAGCTACGAAGAGAATTTGACCATGCACATTGCCACAGTCATAATTTTTCCATAGCTTTTGTGTTTGTCGCATTTTTCCAGAAAGTAGACAACTTTGAAGCTGATTATACCAAGAATATTCCGGAAGAATACTCTGTTTCGCTCGCATTCCTCACATGCTAAATTCAACTGAACAACGCGCGACAAACGCTCCCTCCTTTTCATACTCTTGTTTCGTTTAGATCAAACTGAAATGTCTGCATCATCCATTATCACGTGAACACAGTTTTTTCCTGTCCAGGGTTTCAAAATCATCAGTTTTTGTTGTTTATTTCTACCAAATGTTTTACACAGGTCGTTTTCTTTGACGCACGTCGTTTGTAACTTGTAAGGATAAACTCACCAACAACAGAGCTGCCAGATCCAAAGGCGCAGATACACGGCTGCTCAGCTGGAACGGTGAAGTTAGCTAAACCCCACTGAGATTCCACGTACTGCCCCAAGAAACCCATCTTTGCAAGGCTGATGAACAACAACAGAAGTAATTGAGACAACAGTACAAATGCAATAATTGTGTCTTCGAGCATTGTGCATTGCCATTCTCTGCACATGACTATAGACTAGTAACTTGAGATGTAAACTGTTAATTCATAAGGTCACATTGATACTGGCAAGCATTCACAGCTCAGTTGCTGATGTTTCCTACTTTATGTTTGCAACTGCTTTAGTTGCTTGGCAATCAGTTTGTAGAAGTTTGTCATTTGGTAGTTTTTCAAAATACGATTTTTTTCCTAAGGATATACATGTACAGTAAAACCTGCATATAAGAACCTGGATTTTTCGAAGTTAGCCTTTACAAGTTCTATAGATAAACATATAACAGGTTCTTAAGTAAAGAGGATCTAGATGGAGAATCTTAGCTTAACAGGTTCTTTAAATCCAGCTGTCATTTTTCATTTCAAAATAGACTGCAAAAGTGCCATATTTTAGTGAAAAATGAAAAATCAAATTCAGACTCAGATTGCCTAATCCAGTAAGGAAAATACTTTTGTTTAGCTTACCTTGATCTCTTGTTTAAAGAAGTGTTCTTTAAAGCAAATATATGAACTGTTCCCTTATCACTTGATACACATAGAAATGCGGAATCATGGCTAAAGTTAATGCTGTAAAGAGAGCACATGAATAATAAGTTGTATTGACTGCACCATCCCGTTTAGGATTGTCCTCAAATGTACTTACAGATGAAGTGAGTAAGTGCCAGAGCCCCATCTGGAGTGCTACAAACATATCATAGTGCATTTCTAGAGTGACTACTTGAACTGGGCCACTTGGGAAAGAGTTAACCAATCAGACCGTTTCTTGAGAACAAAGGATAGCGATCTTTATTCAAATAAACCAATAACACTGAAGAATACAATAGTTCTTACCAAAATTGAAAATCCAACAAAGTGAAAATTATTGTGAACCTCCCAGGAGAGTGATCTCATAAGAGTGAATGACATACCAATACAAAGTAGCAGGATCTGCCCCACGTCTCAGTTCCACTAGCAAGTTCTTCGTTTGGGTGTCAAACACACGGATGAGCGTACCCTGTGGACACCAAGAACAACAAGAACTGTGCAATAGAGGCTGGTCGCTTAATAGGGGTTGGCTTCATCAGGAATTAGCATGAAGCTTAGTAGAAACGTCGATTTATTCGAATACAAACAAGCTTTAGGGCAACATGGAATCATGTGGGGTAAGGACAACAGAAAACACTCATTGAGGTCACCAAAAGGTGGCTGAGGCCGCTCAACAGAGGAAGCCACTTAACAAGGGTTTATTTACGGTTATTGTACTGGTATTTTATTGATTTTGATAACTGGCCACTAAACAGAGGATGCCTGCTTACAAGGTTGTCGCTTTATATAGTTAAATGGAATTTAACATAGTTAACGACTAGGAGCTAGTCTGGTCAGTAGCGTTTTTATAGGCGGTTGTCAGTGTCTTGGCCGTCTGTGAGC